GACTAATCTGTTATTAGAAATATTCTAGATCTAGAATTATTACTTGATTACTACTCTATAGATAATATATATATTGATGATGGTGTCGGTATAGAGTATCGGAATTGACAATAGTGTGGATTGCAATATAGGTGTAGCATCCACTATGCATGATTCCCATCTCAAATCATCTGTTTTAGCATCAACTATGCATGATTCCCATCTCAAATCATCTGTTTGAGCATCAACTATGCATGATTCCCATCTCAAAGCATCTGTTTTAGCATCAACTATGCATGATTCCCATCTCAAAGCATCTGTTTTAGCATCAACTATGCATGATTCCCATCTCAAAGCCTCTGATTTAGCATCAACTATGCATGATTCCCATCTCAAAGCCTCTGAATAAGCATCAACTATGCATGATTCCCATCAAAAAGCCTCTGATTTAGCATCAACTATGCATGATTCCCATCTCAAAGCCTCTGATTTAGCATCAACTATGCATGATTCCATTAATTAAGCCTCTGATCTGATGTTTATCCAAATTGATAATATTTCAATTGAGAATTAATTTCTTATAGAACTGTGTCAATTAGAATTAAATGAAACTAAATAATTCTATTGATTGACTTAATATTGTTGATTATCTTCTAATTGTCCAATATCTGTCTAGTATTTGATCTGTAAATGAAATCAATATTTTGAAGGCGGAGCCTAATAGGATAAAAACTGTAATAGGGAGAGTTAAAGAAAAAAGACAATAACACATTCTTATCAATAAGTCAATCAAATTGTAACTTACAACAAACAGACAATGTCAATCAATATGAAATGAACCAATCAGTGTTGAGGATAAGAGTTGGAAGATAAGATTGACAGATGACATTATCAAGACAGTAGTGACACAATCTGTTCTATGTCCAGTCATACTACAATACATGTAGATCTTGATTCTATTAAATGGATGTTTTGCCTGGAAGTTGATTCCTGATAGTCTTAGAGAATCAAAGTTAAGGAACAGAAGTAATGGAATCTCACTAAGTTTGAGGCCAAACTTCTGGAAACAGTAGCTCTTGAACTGTGAAAGCTTTGAAGATATTCTTATCATTATGGTGGTGATGTGTGGATGAAAAACAATAAATTTGAGAAATGTGTGGGACTAGAGAAGGTATGGGGTAGTTGATAAGAGTACAATTACAGATTGTTTATAGTGAAATAATACCTAGACTTGACAAAGCTACTAGCCAGATAAAGATAATAACTTTATTTATGGTGCCTATTGAAATTCAACTCAATTCATCTTATCAATTTTTTACTCGATAAAAACTATTAACTCCATCTGATTTTATACATTCATAGAATTTGTCCGAGCTTTCTTCTATAATTTCCTTCTCACTGATAGCAGAAATGTTTTCAATGGGTAAATTATAACTATCAGTTTTTCATATAAAGACATTATTTTCATCTGTTTGAAGTCCTATCTAAAGTCTAATGGCTACCATTCTAGAAATATCTGTATTTATATTTTGGTAAGAAATTAAATTTATTTCGTAAAACTGTTAAGTATCATTAAAGGGACAGATGCGGAATTTTTGGGCTAGATTTAGAGTTATGAATATATGTATATAATCTTCAGAAGTACCAGAAATGTAAAAACATCGCATAGTTCCTTTAAATATGTCTCATATTAGGAATTTTTTTCCTATTTCTGTAAAAGTTTTTTTCTATATATGGCAGTATCTAAAAAATGACGACTCATCTCTTTAACTTTCAAACAGAGATAATTCTGGACAAACATGGATTTGAAGACTAAAATTTCGACATCAGCTGTGAAATCTATTTCTGATTGGCTTAGCTTAAAAAAATTCCTATTTCTGAGACTAAAGTATGATCGGTCAAAAAATGACGCAACTGTCCCTTTAAGAAATGGAGAAAGTATATTGTCTTGATTTATAGTTAAGTTTATTATTCTCTACAACAAAGAACATTAGGTAATCTCCCGGTGCCATTTTTCAAATCATTTCTTGTTTTGACTTGAAACTGGTTCTGTGAGCTGTATTTACCAGATAGGATGCTATCTAAACAAACCAATTTTAACAGATAAAATGATTTCATCAGTGGGAATTCAGTCTGAAAATTGTCAGGGTCAATGGAAGAAGTCTTGGACTGGATTCTGATTCTGATGCTCTATAGAATAGGTAGTTAATATAATTACTTGGCAGCTGTATTTTTCTTTACGAATTGATGTTTCTCAAAACAAACTCATGGGTTAGGAGGGTCAGGCGTCAATGTTGAAAAACTGTCTTCTGTGTAAGAATTGATAGCAGGCTTGTAACCTTTTATTTATTGCACCATACAACCAGATATGCAAACAGATGCATGCAATGAAAACAAATGTTTCTTGAAAAATTTGGAATACTTGTTCACCTTGTGGTTGCCATATGCAACATTGAAATAATTCATTTGAACCTGTTGAAATGCCACTTAAAATTCAGAATACATATATTAAAAAAATTTAGAGGGGGACTGTTGAAATTTTTATAAGTTAAAGATGGGTTGCCTTATTTTCATAATATTTATATGAATTGAAAGAAAAGATGTTTTTCTGTTTTTCCAGACAGTACATACATGGACATTTATAGTTGGTTAAAACTCTGTATTATATGCAATAAGAAGATAATGATGAAGAATACATGTTAATTCATTACAAACATCAATTAATCAAATAGTTTGCTTAATTTGACTCTAAAAAATAAGGAATCCCATCTTTAAAAGGCATATATTATTGTAGAAAATTTTTTTATTTTGTGATAACAGAAACAATTTAGAAAAAAACAGGCAAACTTGTAATTTGTGTGGTTAAGATGTGTACATAAAACTTTGAAATTTTTATTTGTAAAATTGGAATAGGATTAAGATGTAGATTTTAAAAAAGGTTTTATGATAAAATATGAATGATTTTGGAAGTGGTAATGAAGTATAAAAGTTTATGTAGACAATATATGTGATTAATATTTCCTGTTATTGAGTTGAGTTTAAACAGACTTTTCTCTCTTTAAAACTCTAAATATACATAAACAAAAGATTAATTAGAAGAATAAGGCGAACTGTAATTTCTGACATATGGACGTTAGCTCTCCTGTTGTTTTTGATCTATTATAAATGGTGGGAACCTTTTGTTGATATATGATCTACATACTAATCTTCTTAAATTAAAGTCTAAATAAACTCCAGCTGCAAACATTGTTAGCTTGGAGATGTTAAACCCAACCCTGCCATGTCTGTACTGTCATTTTTCAATCAAAATCTCTCTTGGGAACGGCCATCTTGAAACTTTCCATATTGTTTCTTCAAACCAAAACAAAAGACCTAAAATGTGTATTTTTATTGAAAATTTACATGATGTGAAAAGTTTAGACAAAGTTTTGTTTGACATATTCCATACTATCTTTCTTAGGCCGTCTGCCAAATCAGTAAAAATAGTCCAAGGGGAATAACTCTAGGTAATATTGCTGCCAATTTCAATGCATTTTGGACTGTAATCTTTTTAGCAATGTTCTATTTTGGAGAGTCTTCTATGTAAAATTTTTTAAATGGCTTTTGTTAATGAAATTATAAATTGATTTTCTTTTATTTTTCAGTTTCCTCAATATCAGGAGAATCACAGATCTCGCCAAAATCCTACCTTCACAAACCTGATGGTATGAAACATTCAACATCACCTCAACTAGCTACATCACCATATAGTAAATCACCTCAGTCTCTACCATCACCATCAGCTATTCATCATCCTGCTTCCTCATTATTTAGAGCTCATACACCAACTTGGGAGAACTCTTCAGTATACTCCAGTCCTGGTGCCGTCAATGAACAAGATGCTCCACTTAATCTCAGCAAACCACGCCATGCTATCAAACATGAGAAAGCCGATCACCGAAATGGAGGTGAACTTTCCATCAAGAGTGAGCCAGTTGTGACCCCACCTCCAGCTCATTCTAACCACAAACGACAAGTCAGCCAATCTCAAACACCCACTTCAGATGTTCCACCAATGTTAACTATGGCTTCACCATTTGGTATGCCTGCTCAGTACATTGCCAACCCGTTCTTAAGCCTGGCTGGTTCTATGCCTATGGCAGGAAGAATGCCTGGTTTGACAAGTCATGCACATGCATTTAATGGAAAACATGAGCTTGACTCAAAAGTTCAGGTATGTAATTAATTTTCATTTACGATATCACAAATTTTTTTCCATAAAATCACCCAGAGTTTCTTCATTGATATATTAAACATCTTCAGAATTGAAATATTTTAAAAAGATTATGTCCAATATGGCAGCAAGACAGTAGCAGTTACTGTGAAATCCTGTCAAAATAATATTCAGACCCATTGCTACTCCATTTTCACCTCCGAAAAATGAACAGCAAATCAATGATTGTCAAAGTTTTCAATGTTCACATTCATTGGTATGGTACTTAATTACTTATCATTAAACCTCACTTTATTTCAGGATAATCTGGTACATGAAATGTTTGCTAGACAACTTGCTGCTGCATCTGTTGGTGGTCCAGTATTCCCTGGTCTACCTTTCCCAATGTATGGTAGTACGCCTTCTCCTACCATGCCACCAATGTCTCAATATCAGCCTCCTAAAGAAAGAGTCAGCATGCCTCTATCTCCAGAAGATAATTCAAATAGCTACGTCCAACATTTACAAAGTAAGTCATAATTTGTATGTTCATGTTATTACCGCTTTTAAAACTGTTTCCAGTTCATAAAAACAAAGTCATAGTAAGCGATATTGCAAGTCAAAATGACCTCCTTTGCAATCCAATATTTCCTATGATTAGCCAAATTTGAATTTTTTCAAAATGATCTGCCAATCAAATCTAAACTAAAATTTGGCGTTATAAATTGCTAATCAAATTTTTCAGTATAACTTGAACTGTGTTTGGAGTATTCATTCTTCAACCAAAAGCTATCTAATATAATGTTTATTAATGTGATTTGTAGGTAAAATGTATGGAGCTAAGATTATCAGAACTCAACGAGAAAAGAATGAAACTAATCGTCCACATATAAAACGACCAATGAATGCTTTCATGGTATGGGCTAGAGAAGAACGAAGAAAAATTCTAAAGGCTTGTCCAGATATGCACAATTCAAACATCAGCAAAATATTAGGTAAAAATTTAATTTTCTGTGTTGAAAAAGTTACAACTGTTAGATATTAACCTTTTACAAAAATATTGACAGATGGAATTTGGGATTTTTCAGATAAACTGAAAAAAATAACTTGAATGTATATGTGGATTGAACTGTTTTTTTTTCTCTCTGTAGGTGCCAAATGGAAGGGTATGTCTAACACAGAGAAACAACCTTATTATGAGGAACAATCTAGATTAAGTAAATTACATATGGAGAAACACCCTGACTACAGATATAGGTAGGTCAAAATGATCATTATTCAGATATTAACAACTGATCATTATTCAGATATTTACACCTAATCATTATTCAGATAGTTACAGCTGATCATTATTCACATATTTACACCTGATCATTATTCAGATAGTTACAACTGATCATTATTCAGATAATTACAACTGATCATTATTCAGATAATTACAACTGATCATTATTCAGATAATAACAACTGATCATTATTCAGATATGCTGAAATTAAAGACCATCATAATTTCATAAGGCCTTAACTTTTTAAGTGAATATGGACAGTGTTGAGTTACCTACAGGTTGTAAATGAACCCACTTAGTAAGGAGATAAAATGTTTTATATTACAGACCTCGACCAAAAAGAACATGTATTGTTGATGGTAAAAAGTTGCGTATATCAGAATATAAATGTATGATGAAATCTCGTAGACAAGATATCCGTCGTGTTTGGTATGGGGATGGTACTTCTGGATTTGTTGATGGTAAATAATTTTACTAAATCCAAGATGATATTTTCTTTTCATGAATTCGTGAAATAGAACGATCTGTTGGCCAATTAGGTAGCAACATGGAACAAATATTGGTGGTGTTGGATATTGGTGATCCCAAATAAGTCTTCTTGACCCATTATTCCAAATGACCCTGCTGTAAATGTTCAAGGATCAATGCCAAGAGATTAGGCCTAAGACCAAGTGGTACGAAGCCTTTTTAGCACCAATTCTTTTCTTGATTTCTTTCTGCACAAAAACCAGTTTGAAAAAGTTTTATTAATATTAAAAAATGTTTTGTTATTTTATCATTGTAGGAAGTGGACCATCTGATTCCAGTTCATTCTCACCATTTCTCTCATCTTCTACATCAGATAATCCTAACAACGATATCATGAAATCATCTCCATTCACACTCAATGGTGAACACACAAATAAAGATACATTCTTACCAAATGGTCACTGCTCAGATTCGGGTGAAGAAGCTCTCAGTAATGATAGTATGGATGAATCTTGCGACGTCACAAATGATCATTTTGAAAATTCCTCCACAACTGAGGGTATCCAGTCATAACATTTTCTAGTTTCTGCTATGGGAACTTAACTGTGCTAGTAGACCTATAGGGTCACGTGAATGATGGTGCTAGGTGAAGATTATCATTTGGTGTAGTTTGGTTGTTTAGATACGTGTACATTGTCAGCATTGACATCAATGGAGAGATGAAATTTTTTCCAAATTGCCTGGGAAGGACCAGAAAGAAAGGCTTCTTCTTATGAAGATACATAATAGAAGAATAAGATATGAAAATATCTGAACAATACAAAGAAATGTGATCTTCATAAGTATGTTCTGAAATCAGAATTGTGATGTTACAACAGAATTGAGATCTGAAATCTTAGTATCTTGAATTAAGATCTGGAACTGAATCAAGATCTGAAACTGATGCAAAGATGTGAAATGTGAATATATTAAGATCTGATATCTGAAACAAAGATGTGAAATCTGAATTAAGACCAAAATCTGAATTTAGATCTAAATACTGAAACAAGATCTGAAATCTGAACTGAGATCTGAAATATGACTTGAGATCTGAAATCTGAATCAGGGTCTGGAATCTGAATAAAGATCTGAATTTTGAATTAAGATCTGAAAATATTGTGGGAATGAACTAACAAACTAGATGATATAGTATAGTGCAGCAATAATTGTGTTTATAGGTGCTTTAGATTAATTTATAGTTTTTAACAAACAAAAATATAAAGTCGATATATCTTAGACAATTTCTCAGTGAAATACAAAGGTTTTTCTTTCATTTTAAATCATAACTGTACAGAGGTGATCATTGTGACGTCCATATTTGTGGTTTTTTATTTCATTTAAATTGTTGTTTTTTTTTGTATAGAATCGACTTGGCCTTTAATAGGGCAGTTAATGTTGACAACGAGTTATATGGGTCCAACTATAATTAAATATATACATATAATTATAAATTAACGTTTATTGTAGACTTAATTGTAATATGTTCACTGTTCATTTTTTGTTTGTTTGTTTCGTTATTTCTATGTTGAGGGAGTTCATTGTTCTCATTTTCTTGTTTTTATATATTGTGCAAGATGATAACCACTTGATCTTTCCTTGCAATTTTATAACAAGTTGTGTTCAAGTTTATATTAAGAATTATTTAAAGCCCAAGACATTTTATAGCATTTCCAGAAATCAAAATTAAGTATGAAAATCTGTCCATAGGGAAAATATGAAAATCTGTCTATAGAAAAAATTGAAAAATTGTCTATAGGGAAATTATGAAAAACTGTCTATAGGGAAATTATGAAAATCTGTCTATAGAAAAGCTATGAAAAGCTGTCTATAGAAAAATTATGAAAATCTGTGTATAGGGAAGCTATGAAAAGCTGTCTATAGAGAAAGTATTATAAATTGTCTATAGAGAAAGTATGAAAAACTGTCTATAGAAAAAGTATGAAAATCTTTCTATAGAGAAATTTTGGGATGAATAAGACCAATGCTGTGATAATCTCACTATGAGTTTAACATATTCATGACTTGAGGCATTGTGATAAAAGTTATCAATTTTTGTAATTAATTTCGCTATCACTGTTTTTGTTACATTTTTCAAGTTGAAGTGTTCAGTTAATATTAGTTGTTATAAGTTCATGCCAAGTCTTGTGATGTGTAAAGGTGCGGGCACACCAACGGTCTTGGATGGCGATTTTTCTCCCGGACTAGAGTCTTGTCAAGAGTTTCACTGATTGGCTCGGGTACAGTCACTCATTTTTCACCATGTGGATAATCACGTGCGTGGCATGCAATTGAAAGGAAAATGAATTTGATTGGACGATAAAACTATGGGCGACAAATATCAAACTTGTTTGATATTATAAATCCTGTCAGGAGCGCGTTAATCTTGTCCTGAAAACACAGGCACACACAAGATTTTACTCAAGATTTGAATCAGTGACAAAAAACACTGACCAAGACCGTTTGTGTCTCTGCACCTTTAAGAATAGTTGTCAGTGATGTTATAGTTAAATTGAATTATTATATGCACACTATCATTTGTTTATCATATCACAATGTTATCTGTATTTTGTTATAAGATCGGTGCAAACATTCTTTTTTCATTATTGTACATAAACTAGTAGACACAATCAATGGCAGATTCAGATTTCTAACTGTCTAGAGCTCATCTCTTCCTGCCAATATGTGTTTCAGATACATAATGATCATCAGGTCTGTTGTTTGGGAATTGATAACATTTAAAGCTTTGGAAATCAACTGGTTGAAATGTCACATTATTTTTAGATATTTTTCAAGTATTTTGTGGAAAAGCGGAAACTTAATTCTGTAATTATAATCCATTTTTGTATGTTGATCATAATTGAAATCTGAATCTGCCTTGATAACTAAAAGCTTTTGCAATGGTTTCTAAAAAATATCTGCCCAACATATGAATATTGTAAATGTGTCAAAAAACGCCAAAATTTGTTACGTGTATTTAAGTATTCATTATCTCAAATGCCAAGTGTAAAAAAGCAATATTCGTGCCAAATCTGAATATTTATGCCAATTTTTGAATTTATGCCAATTCTGAATATTTATACAAATAATAAAGCAATAATATTTCTATTTATATTGTTACTTAATGTCAAAATAAATTTATAATATAAAACAGAACATCTCGTCTTCCAATATTTAGAACATTTTTTATTTTAACATCCGTGTATAAAGAATTATAAACAATTCATATTGTTAGTTTAAGTTCAAAATTTTTAATTGGACTGTTTCATGTTGGAAAAATATTTGGATAGATGTTTTCTACTGAGTGTTTCTACAAAGAAATAAGTAATTTGACTGAAATCTACAACAAATGAAATTGGCATATATTTGTGTGTATAATGCACAGTTTTTTAACCCTAAAAAGGGCATGCCGAACTGAAAATTTTGAATTTTTCTCCAGAGGTTTCCAAGTCAATATTGATGATCAGTAACTGATCGCTGATGATGAAAGGTGAATTTGTATGTATAATGCACAGTTTTTTACCCTAAAAAGGGCATGCCTAACTGAAAATTTTAAATTTTTCTCCAGAGGTTTCCAAGTCAATATTGACGATCGGCAATTGACCGCTGGTGATGAAAGGTGCTACCCTAATATGGAATTGATTTTTATAATGTGGACAAAACGATCCTGTATGACAATAGTGCCATTTAACTTCATAGTAAAAATATATGTGGAATAGTCCCTTTAATATGTATAAAGTTATTGTTATTAATTGCCATTGTTTTATTGAAGTTACCAATGTTAATATTATTAGGTTACAGTTTGTGTATAGATGTTATCAGTTAGTTATTGGTATGGGTGGATTTTTAAGTTCATTTGAAAAATCGTAATTTCAAATGTGGATTAAGGGTAATATTTTCAATGTCTGGTCATATTGATCATCAAAATACACATATCTTGTAGTTGTGTTCATCATCGTTAAAGGAGCATAATTTGCAATTTTTGTGCAATCGTTTTGTATCTGTAAGTTTTTCAGGTTATAGATCGTCATATTAATTTCAATGTCATGCTTTGAAAGTAACGTTATTTTTTCTCCGAACTTTCAGTAACTGTAACAGTTAGGCAATTGTCATTTTAAAATCACTTTGACAATTTTGTCACTTTCAACTAAATACAAAAATAACACATAATAATGTGATCTGTCTCATTCTGTATTTATAAATTATTATTTGTATCCAAGTAATTGTATTCATTATTATATATACAAAAATCTAAATATAATATATACAATAAGCTAATGCAGAGTGGAACTTTTAAGACACTTGTTATTATGTGTTGGAAGGTTTAGCCTTTATTTAAGTTATTCTGAAACACAGGGCTATATTACCTAAACACATCACAAATTTAAGATATTTTTTTTTCACTAGTGAATTAAGATATCTTAATTTTTGATCAATTAGGTAACAAGCTCTAGAGATGCATTTGTACAAAATATTAATATATCTTATAAAAAATAACATGACATTCTGCACTGTGGGCAGATAAACATTATATAGATGTACATTACTTTATATCATTATTATTATTATAATGTCATTATTATTTCATTATTATTATTATGTCATTATTATTAAGCATGACTACTTGACGAACTCACATTGTGTAAACAGCCTACTGATCTCACTGCATTATTATTATTATTATTATTATTATTTTGACCACCATTACTAACAAATTTCCTGTATTCATGATAAAATAATTCATTAACAAATAAATATCAAATTCAATATATCATCTTTAAAAACAGAAATAAATGTTAAAAAAAAAACATCCCTTCTTTCATATTTCAAAAGATTCTGTTTGAGCTCAACTGAACTGAAGTGAAGCCGAAATGGAATTGTAAAGAGGTTTTCTAAAAAAAAATTATGTGTATTAAGGACATTGATAGCATCAATTTGCATCATTCCTATTTTCTATCAGACATC